CATATAGGAATGATGTAGCCCATGAGTCATGAAGTCAATTGACTCCCTCAGCACAATGTGAAAAGAAATGCAACCACTGCTTCTCCAGGCAGTTGGTTTTACCTTTGTGTGGATCAGAAATCCAAGCAAGAGTGTGACTGCACCACTTTACCCCCCTGGATCTGCTTTTACTGGACTCCACCCATTCCTATATGTAGCTGCTAGGGAAACGAAGAAAAAACAAGCAGCAGCTATTTTACAGCATCTCCATGATTCTATTCTGGGTAGAAAGTCATCCCCTCCCCGCCTACATAATGTATGTACCTCCATGCTGGAATGCTAATTTTTTTTAGGATAAGGTGCATGTGGTATGGAAATAAATATAGCATTTCCACACCTTTAATCAGAAATACTTCACAGAATACTCCATACTTAATTTCACCAGAAACCCATGACTTCCTTTGTCTGCAAAGCTATGTCAAGTCTCTGTTGCACATTTAGCCCAGTCTCTGTTGGCTGTATAAGATTCAGTTTTGTAAGCCCTTATCTAATTTGATGACCATCATTACTTTTCAGTGGTTTTGACATTCCTCTGTCTTACTGCATATTAATCTTGTGGATTTTTATTAGTCTGCACTGTTCCAGCTTAATTTTGTTTTGGTGTAATATTATATTTCTAAGTATGGCTATATTTCCAATTTCTGTGGGTGTCTTTGTATATTTTGACAGTTGTCATGAGGGATCATAAAACTTAGAATTTATAATCAAATTCAGACATTGGATGTTACCCTACCATCACTAAAATCAGCACAAGCCATGTATGCCTCAATTTCAAAATGTATCCATGAATATAACAACAGGGAACTGTATCTAGTTTTATAAGGAATACTATGTATAGGAGAAAACATATCTTGAACATCGTGTCCACCACAACTTTCTAAACAAAATGGGACTGATTCTCCATATGTCTTCCACCTAGTATAGGCATTTATAGCAGTAAAAGGCAGATGTAAAATGCTACCATTTTGATTTAGACAAATGTAAATGACAGGCCGCTGTGCAACACAAGAGGGAATAAATCCTAAAACATTTAAATGCTTTCTTCTTAGAGTATGAAAGAATCTTCTCACTTTTCTTCTCTCTATGTTAAATATCTCTAGTTTTCATTTATAGTGGGAGACTGCAAGACATCTTTTACATCAGATGACACACAGAATGTTTTCTCTTACCTTTCCAGTTGACTTGGTTCCTTTCCAAATGCAGAAGTAGCAGATAGTCCAAGCAGCAAGGAGACACAATGCCAATTCCCAGCGAAGATTCCCAATATGTTCAATTCCTTCTGATATGGCTAATACCCTGCGCCTTCAAAAAAATATGATAGTGAAATGCTAGAATCTTAGCAAAACAGATGTTGGAATAAAAGAGTAAAGTAAGGGTGCTTACACAAGTTAAATTGTTTGCATGCTCAGGTCCCTGAAAGTGCTCTACAGTCATGCTGTGACACACATGCATGGCTACAGAGTGTTTTTTAAGTAGTCAATAACGCAGATAATTAACTCTCCTCAAATGAAGTATTAGATGTGGGTGCTCTGCTTTAGAGTGCCTACAAGAAATTGTGTTTCCTAGAGTTAATTTTCCGCACATTGGGCTTCACATACTTTTGCACCCTGGCTGGGGGTATGCTGGGCTGGGCCAATGAGGCAAGAGGGCTCTGTTCCCCCGCCCTCCACCTCAGGTTGGATAAGCCAGCAGCTCAGTGCTGCTCACTTCTCCCTCTCTGCTTTGCCCAACCTGAGCTTGAGGAGGGGCAGGGTAGAACAGAGCCCCCTCACCTCATGGACCTGTCCTGGCTCTCTCTAGTTCTCCGGCTGGGATACCTGGCAGGGGGTGAGGGGAGGGCACTAGGTGTGGGTGCTCTGTTCTCTTCCCCCCGCCCCACAACTCCAGCCAGCTCCCTCTGTTTCCCCCTCCCCCTCCTGACAGCCCTGGATCTGGGAGAGGGGGCAACAAGGAGGCTGCTGGGGTGCTTCTACCTGCTGGCCAGGAGGACCAGTGCATGCAAGCTTGATTCCCCCTGACCCAACAGGCAAACATCTGTTGGGTTGGAGGGGAGAGGGTGCTGTTAGAGCAGGGAAGTGAATGTCTGTCTGCACCCAAAGTTTGCAGTGATACAACACAGCAGTGGGAACTGCCTACTGGGAATGCACTATGATGAAAAAGAGGTGAAAACCAGTAGTGAACTGTTCTCATTATTTCACATATAAAGCTAAACTTGTGCAGATGGCAGGTTTTTGGTTCTGAAGGTGAAGCAAAACTATTTTAAAAAAACTGATCTAAGCCAAATTGTTAATTTTTTTTCAAGAAAAATGTTAGTTTTGTTTGACTTATTGGACCAATATGAAACATCTGAACAGCAGGTTATTTATTTGTCCTTTTCAACATATGTATATGACAACTACAAAATTTAATTTCCAATTTTAAAACATTTAGACTTTTCCAAACTGAATTTTCTTTTTCAGAAAATGTTGTTATAAAGTGTTTGAACCCTTTTAAAAATGTCCTTGTTTTTATTGGCAAAAATTATTCCTAATATATCACTCCAATTCACTAATAGTTTGTGAATTATATGATTTCATAGGGTGATAGTTTTTATTGGACCAACTATGTAATTGGGATACAGTCTAACAAGCTTTCAAATGCAAGGATTTTTTGGCCAGGTCACCTTGCCTCTAAAATAATTTTTGGACCATCACAGATGCAACTTCACTCTTACACTAACAGTTTTGGTCCTCCTGAATTCAATTTTTTCATCAAATGTATTGTTCCCTGGGGAAAAAATGGCACTAGTCTCTAACTATCATACCACCTAGAGGTTTTTTCAATATTCAGCTGAGATCAGGGTTTCAATATACCATAAATTGCATGATCACACAGTTAGAGGGAATTTTTGCCCCCTGCCCCATACTTAAAATTTCAATAGGCTGGGCATAAGAAGTGTTTGAAAAAAGCAGTAATGTTATGCACATTTTGTAGGGGAACTGAAGCACAAAAATCAAATAAGTTAAATTTGCATAGAAAGTGCAATAAAATCTGTTATCTGGCATGAGTGGGGAATGGGGGGTGCCAGTTATCTAAAAATTCCGGTTATCGGGAATTTTACTTGCGCACACTCAGGTACCATGCGCTGGTACCCTCAGAGCGGTGCAGCAGACAGGAAAACGGTGCAGCAGAAGGCGAAGTGGTGCGACGCTATGTGCGTTCCGCTGCTTTCTGCAGCACAGCGGGAGGCAAAGCAGTGCGGAGTGGCGCTGAAATATTGTTTAATAAGGTATTCTGGGTGACGAAGCACTGGATAACAGAGATTTTAGTGTACATGCAAGGCATTTAAATTGTGCATCCTGAATCTCAGGACTGTTTTAATGAGAAGAACAATCTTCCTTATTTTAACATTGCTTTCCTAACTAAGCATAAAATAGGCCTTTTATGCACTTAGATTTTTAGTTGCAAATAAACAATGAGTTTACAAATACAGTAAATTCCCTGTCAGCTTTTTTTGTTCTGCTATAAATAAAAGATGACACTATATTGTAGTGAAGAAGAATTTAGAAGTAGAAACAAGAATTACTTAAGACCCATCCATTTAATGAATTCCTTTAAAGGTTTTCAACTTTTTATTAAATTAACAGAGAATCTATAGGGAATATAAAGACTTTTCTTAAGGAATCTGAATTTACCAAAGGAGTGAAGGACTGACTTTTAATAAGTGTCTGAAGTCAGTAGTTGATGTTGATTTAAAATGGCATTTTGTATTAATAACATATTAGAGACACAAAAGCACTTAGGGAACTCTAAACTCCTTATAGTAAGTAATTAGCCATGTACCTAGATGGCAAATTATATATAGAATCGTTATTTAGGTCTTTTTCTACCCTTAATTAAGTCTACATAGGTGCTAGAAACACAAACTGCATGGGTTTCTGCAATGTGATACAGTAGAGAACTGGGTTGACCTAATAGAAAAACAAGTTAATGCATATTTAGGTCAAACCTGCTAAGTAGGGAAGGGTGGATTTGTTGGTTCTCCAGGTTTTTCTACTTTTGCTTCTCTATGTATAGCCTTCATTTCCAGGCTTAAAACATCTCTCTTTTATTACAGAAAGTTTCCTTGGGAATCTGCATTCAATAATCTCTACAAACTCAGACATACAAGGTATGTACTAGGCTCTCTCTTAGAGGCATTATGAAGGTTAGTTAAATAAGGTTTAAAAGTACTCTGATATCCTCTAATTAAAAACTCTATATACAATGTACTATTCTGATTTTTTTTTCATTATCACTTCCTGTGCTCTTTCAATGTTATTTTGGAAACACTTCTGAAAGGCAAAATATTATACAGTCTCTAATAAGATGATCACATACTACCATTTTTATGAGACATGTTGGATGCAGAAGGAAAAAGAACTGGGGTTGCATGGATGAACAGTAACTCTGGCATTGCCTGCAACCTATCAATTTTATACTACAATTATACTATAAAATTTACAGTGTAAAATTGTTAGGTTGCAGGCAACTACACAAAAGCTAGGGAATGCCAGAATTACTGTTTGTCCACACAACCCCAGTTTTTGTTTCTTCTGCATCCAACACAAGTCCCATGAAACTGGTAATATGTGATCATCTGATCAGAAGCTGTCATGCAGCCTAGATACAAGAGGAAACAATAAGATTATACAGACAGATTAATACTTTGTTTCATTATAGTTTTATTCCAAATATAATTCCCTACAGGATTTCTTAAGGGAAAAGGAGTAAAATCAAATTACAACTGCAACAGGTAACAAAAATTCTGTGTGAATAAAGAACCTTCAGCATCACAGCACAGACAGCTGGAATTTAAATTACAGGAATAACTGCATAAGGTGCTACCATGAAATGTCTGTTATGCAGTGGAGAGATATTACTGACACTACATGTTGGGTGCAGATGGATGCTATGAGGAGTTTTATGCAGCCTACTGTCTTTTCCACCCAGTGCTTTTGCCCCACGTCATGTCTCTCTGTAAGTAAAGAATAGAATGCTGGATCCAGGAGCTGGATCTGGTGCCACGATGGAGGGAAAAAAAAAAATCCTACCTTAACTCTCACCAGCCTCTACTATACCACTAATGCTATAGCTGCTTTCACAACATCAAGGTGACCCAAGTTCAGTTCTGCTGTTGCTTGTAATGGTGCTTTGGCCATGGCAAGGGCAAGCCCTTACAGCGTTTGTTTCATTATTTTGATAGACTGAGATTCGCTACCACGTTCTCTAACACACCTCCATAGTTAGGGTCATTCTGTAAAGCATCTTCTGACACTAACTTCCTGGATGGCAGAAAAAGCCAGCCAAGAAGAAATAACAGCAGGTAAAAATAGGCCTCAATAAAAAATCCAAAAGAGTTGTTGGTATTCTCAAAATCATAGAAAAATAGAAATGAAAAGAAGAGGACTTTTATGAGTGGTGCATTTTTATCATTGAGAGGATGCAATCAAATATGAAAACAGAGGAAATGTTTTGAAGTTATCAACACATTAGAAGTAAAGATTAGGTCATTGATCCATGACTATAAAAAAGGTTGATCGTACAAGTAAAAAACAGATTATAGTATGTGTTACAGGACATACCTCTCATGTCCTGTAACATGCCCTAGCAACCACTAACCTTGTCTCTCTCAGTGTACCATCCTGATACTGCCTGTCACATCTTGCTGGAAAATAAGTTTAGAAGGCTGCCCTCATAATTCTGGAGTGCACTGTGAGGTTCTTCACGCCACTCAACTCATCAATGGGTAGCCAGTGCAGTCCAGTCTCTTAGCTCTGATCCTGAACAAGGCTTTCTGGCTGGTTCCAGGTACCAGTTCTGTGTCTCTCTCTCTCGTCTCTCCCCCTGGGCATGCATGGGGGTCTCCCTACTCCCTTTAGCCACTCCTATGACTCAAAACTCAAAATAATAAATATGTGACTTATCTCTACATGAGACTATCTCTGCAGAGCTCCTTCTCTTTCAAGAGTCAGGCCTATATACCCATTGACTCCTCATTCTGGTTGCCTGACCCCCTCCCCTGCATACCCTCTCATACAATTTGTGAGGGCCCAGGTACTGCTAACTGTCTATCTTCAGGCTTACTGCTCTGTAGCCTGCCTGCCTACCAGCCTGTAGGATGCCTTCTGCACTTTTCACTAAAATAGTGGTGCAAAAGGGGAAAATGTCTCTGAAGTGCATTTACCACATTCATTTTAATGGAAAAGAGATGGACATTTGTGATACTAAACAATTTTGCTGATTTCCTCCATACAGAGCCCCTCAAGAAACATAATCACCAG